CCGCCGCCATCAACCCTCCTGGCACGGAACCAGGAGGAGGGTGCCCCCTGCCTCTAAGGCAGGTACCCATTTCTCTACTTGTAGTTACTTTCGAGCCGCTGGGTTGGCAGGAGCTGGGACTGAGGGCCGGTAGCTCACTCCGGCCGCGGTGGGGATTCGAACAGCCATTGTGGCTGTCCGCTATGATGTTACTGGCAGGCATCAAACTGCCTGCGCCACCGCTCCCGCTACTACCATCTTTCGCAAAGGAGAGGGTTTGTCTTTGGTAGGGGTTTGTTTGCCATCAGCAGAATCACGGGGTGACGTTTTCCTAGACTCTACTATTTCAAGTGAATCTGCGCATAGGAAGGGCAGTGTTGCAGATTTTCACATGCATGAACACACATGAAGGTGCCTTAGACTGAAACAGACCATCACGGTCAGTATTGTGTACTCAGACTGGCAGCAGCTCTCCAGGGTCTCTAGCAGAGGTCTTTCACATCAACTACTGCCTGGTCCTTTTTAACTGGAAATGCTGGGGATTGAACTTGGGCCCTGCATGCCAAGCAGAGGCTCTTTCTCAGAGTCAAAGCCCCTCCCTGAAAAAAACTCTACCAGCACCTTCCCTTTCCATGTAAGCATAAAAAAATAAGATAAAGGGAACAAGAGCAAACATGACAAGAAAAATAAAATAAAGGGATCCTTGGTGGCCAACTTCCTACATGATGGGACTTTATCCCCTAATGGGACAACATTCAAATATGCTTCCCTTGACCATCTAATGCTTAAAGTGGTACAAATCCAGGTCTGGTCTACACAGGCAGCCCAATGAGGGGATAGAATAGACTGCAACAAGTCAGACTGTAGGTGGAGGAAATCCACATCTGGGAATGCGCCCTCATGTTCAAAAAAAATTCCCTGCAAACAGAAAACCAGCACAGCAGTCCAAGGACTGGCCTAGAATTTTTCTTGCTGATGAGCTGGTTTTCTGTTTGCAGGGATGCTCCCCTGCCCCATGGAGAAGGATTCAAAAGTGGCACATCCCATGCGTGTAAGTCATCACCTGATGAATATGCATGTGTGAAGCACCCCATACCTTGTCAATGGTACCTGTCCTGCAAGCAGAGAAGGTACTATGATTTGCACCTGCTCTTAAGGAGTTAATATGGCTTCCAGTGAAGACCATTCACCTTCTTGCCTTTAGGATAACCTGGAATTCTTATTTGTGCATTATGTCTGTGATAGCCCCATTCACACATGCACATCACTAACAGGTGGCAAGCATGCACATGTGAGCCAGCCCCAGGAGTCTAAGATACAGACATGTTTTATTTTGAGAACATCCTCTTTATCTCTAGATACCCATTGTCAATGTGAAGAAAAACACTTTGCCTCCTGCAGGGTTTGAACAAACTTGTACCTCAGCCGCAATTCCATATCTACAACACTGGCTTATTAACTATGTACTTTTGCTAGCTGCAACAGCATCTTAGCTGTTTTCCCTTTTGGCTCCTTCCAACTTCCAGGTTCTATAATCCGGGGTCTAAAATGCTCCTCCTGTGTCCCGGAACTTAGCTTGTCTAATTTCAGTCTGCCAGGAGCAGCAAACAGGATTTAACCCCAATGTATGCTGCACTCAGCAAGTCAAAACAGAAGCTAGTTCAGCGGAGTTTCTTTAATTAAAAAGGTTTCAATTTGCAGTACGGAAGGGGGGAGGGTTTGCTGAGGTCCCCCAGAGGAATGGCTTCTTGTGCCAGCCAATTCAATTCCTTTGCTTTCATCCAGCCCTTTTAACCTCTGCCAATAATCAATAGCAGCATAATTGGGGAACAAACCTGACAGCAGCAACTGGTCAAATCAACCTGCCCCTCCAGCTTCTTAGCAGAGGGCCTGCATTTCCCGAAAGGCACTGCTCATCAAAGCATTTTAGGGTGTTTTTAAGTGTTTTATTTTGCAAACAGGTAGCCTCGCCTTTACCACACAGGCCGAAGCACTGCAGGAACAACCTGAAAGACATTCCACCCACAGAAGGGGGCAACAAGGAAATCTGGAAGGAATCACAGCTCAGTGGTCAAGCACGTGCTTTGTGTGCACAAGTTCCCAGGCTCAATTCCTAGGCTCTCTGGTAAAAAGGATCAGTGGCTAGGGAATGTCTCTGCCAGAGACCATGAAGAGTCACTGTGAGTTCAACAGTTATGGCCCAGACTGGCCTGGGTCAAAACAGGACTGAACTAACAACACTACCAGTCACTAGATGCATGTCCAGATGGACATATTAAACAGCTTCATATATGTCAGTTTGTATTCAGCCTTTCTTCCAAAGAGGTCAGAGCAGAGACTTGGGCAGCATCTCACTGTATCATCATCAAATCAACTCTAGTTATTACAGCAGCCTCAAGACTGAGCTTGGATTCGAAACAAGGACATCTTGGTCCAAGTCCACCACTCTAAAACTGTGGGTTTTCCCCCTCCTATATTGGAAGCACATAAACACACACACACACCCCAAAAAAAACTTTGGGGTATGGAGTCAGTAAAAAGAAATTACCCTTCCTCAGAAGAACTCACTCTCTGGGTCTCTGTGCGAGTCACTGTTCTGAAGAGGCCCCCCAGTCTGGGAGACAAATCCCATGTATTTCTACATGAGTCACTGCCGCAGTCAGACTCCTCTGTGGGTGGGTGTTTGGAGCTCACAGGAACGTTAAAATTTTGTAATTAATTCCTCCCTCGCAAGACGCAACTGGGGATCTGCTCCTCTGTCAATGAACGCGGCCAACACAGTGCATTTTTTTTCTAGCTTGCTGTATCACTGGGCTTTACAGAAACTACTAAGGTCAGTAGGCCAGTGGTCCAACTGGGTACAGGGCAGCTTCAGGTGTTCAGATGCATTAGGCTTCATGCCTTGGACTGGTCTAAGACCCTGAATTTCCTACATTTGCTTCTGGATTCCATATGCTGCAAAATCTGACCTTGGAGATCTGAGGAAACAAATATTGGGAAACTGCATTGTTTCTTCTGTTTGCTCTTTGCAGTCTACCCGTTGGCAACCACTTACCTTGTACCTGTGCATTCAGCTTCTCCAAATCCACCTCAGTCATGTGAGAGAATCTGCAGTTGGAGCCAAAATCACATTGGCCTGCAAGGAAACCCAAACAAAGAGCATATGAAGGGGAGGGCACAAAACAGTGCAGGGAAGGAACAAGATCTCCACTGTTAAATCCACAGCCTGATCATGTGCACTAGGGCACAACAGCACAGAGCACTATATCAAGAACAGAACTGGGTATCACCACAAAAAGATACTGGTGTTGCTGTTTTTAATAGAGAAAGTTTCTAGCCCTCATGGATAGAAAAAATGTAAAAAATACGTGGACAGTTTCTACAGCACACTAAGGAACTAGAAGGACGATGCTTAACTTAGCATAGAGGCAGATCCCTCAGCCCCTCCGTGCCCATTTCCCCACAATGTCCCAAGATCCTACACTTCTCTCCAAATTTATGAGAAAGAAGGAACAGAAAGCTCCATATTTTGCTTGCTAGACACACACATACACATTTTGTTCAGCTCCAATAAGGCATGCAAATTTAGTGCATTTATGCAAGACTGATGCATTTGCAAATGTATAGGCCAGCTTTCCCAGCAGATGTATAGTCTAGTCTCAGAATTGCTCACCTGGGCAGACTGTCATCACTGTAGAAGTTTATATATATATATATTCCCAATTAATAAACCATAACCACTGCAGCCTTAGTAAAAACCCAAACGTTCATACCCTTAACCCATAGTTCTAGTGAGAAAGGCGGACTACATGTGAAAACAATAATAAGGGCCCCGGAGGTCACTTCCAACTCTATGATTCTATGGTTCTAAGGAGGGGGAGAGGAGAAGGAAAAGGAAGAAGAATTCTAGAAAGAGTTATACCCTTCTAAGCCCATTGACTTCCATGGACTTAGAAGGTGCAGCAATGCAAAAAAAAATGTACTGAAAAATTAGTTCTTGCCAATCAATTAACTAAAGCTATGTTTAATAGAGGGATAGGCACTAACTGTATTTCCAGCAGCTTCTCAACCCTTAAGAATGCAGTCTGGTGTGGGAGTGAGGTAAAAGTGTGCTTTGTTGCACCAGCTGACTATTTGCAAGTGGTCCGTCTCCTAACAGTGAGAGTGTTACTGTTACAGGGCATGTAAGCTAAGGGGCAACCCCAGATGCAGACAACTTACAAAATCTCAGAGAATGGATTTTAAAATTACAGTATGGAATACTTCTGATATTGACTTCCATGGACTTAGAAGGTGCAGCAATGCAAAAAAAAATGTACTGAAAAATTAGTTCTTGCCAATCAATTAACTAAAGCTATGTTTAATAGAGGGATAGGCACTAACTGTATTTCCAGCAGCTTCTCAACCCTTAAGAATGCAGTCTGGTGTGGGAGTGAGGTAAAAGTGTGCTTTGTTGCACCAGCTGACTATTTGCAAGTGGTCCGTCTCCTAACAGTGAGAGTGTTACTGTTACAGGGCATGTAAGCTAAGGGGTAGCCCCAGATGCAGACAACTTACAAAATCTGAGAGAATGGATTTTAAAATTACAGTACGGAATACTTCTGACTTCATAATAATATATGTTCCTTATGAATGAAACTACAACCAGGCTTTTTCGTACACCTTCATAAACCTGGTAGGGGCTGTACAGAACTGGCTTGGAGGCAAGACCTGGCCTGAAGATACCAACTGGCTCTCCCAGAGTAAAATTTACTCCTCCCATTAAGACAATTATAGTTTGCAGCCCTAACAAAAATATGCCTTCATCAGGAAAAAAAAGTGCCCACCTGTCTGCAGGAACTTCCGACAGGGCTTCTTACTCTGCTCCTCTTGCAGGACAGCTGCAGCATCTGTGGAACACGAACCACATGGTAAGGAGAACCAGACCCAGCATTTCTCCTTGTTTTAGCCTGGCAAGAGTTCAGCTTTTGCCCATATGAGCCTTCTCCCACAGGAATCAAAGTAATCATTTCAAGAGGAACTTACGGGATAGTGCAATGGGCTGTACAGAACTGGCTTGGAGGCAAGACCTGGCCTGAAGATACCAACTGGCTCTCCCAGAGTAAAATTTACTCCTCCCATTAAGACAATTATAGTTTGCAGCCCTAACAAAAATATGCCTTCATCAGGAAAAAAAAAAGTGCCCACCTGTCTGCAGGAACTTCCGACAGGGCTTCTTACTCTGCTCCTCTTGCAGGACAGCTGCAGCATCTGTGGAACACGAACCACATAGCTAGGAGAACCAGACCAAGCATTTCTCCTTGTTTTAGCCTGGCATGAGTTCAGCTTTTGCCCATGTGAGCCTTCTCCCACAGGAATCAAAGTCATCATTTCAAGAGGAACTTGCAGGATAGTGCAATGCTTTGTCCCTTCTGTTTTTTATTCCTGGATCCCACCTATTTGCTTGAAGGTTCCCTGTGTGAAAAGAGTCAGAGCCCACCACCCTGCAGCCATCAGCCAGACTCCAAAAGCCACCTAAGGTGCTTCTGCCTGTGCAACAGGGTCTCCCTCACTCTCCACTACATCCACAGCCCTTTCCTAGTTCCTGGGAAGAGAACTTGCCTCCTACCTCGAAATAAGTCATACCAGACCTTCTTGGCTCTCAGGTGCTGCACCCCATTCAGGTGCTTCTTCCTGTTGTGGAGATTATCCTGAAACGAGCGGTCACAGTAGTCGCAGAAGTAGCGCTTCCCCATGCAGACTCCACTGAACACACTTTCTGAAGGAAGGTTAAGTACAATTTATCCACACAGCTTTCACACACATACCCTACTTATTTTGTCCATTGTGCAAGCCTCCATCAAGTTGCTTGTCGTTTCCATGAGGTAGGATCTTTTCTCAAAACTCTATGGCAGTCTCACTTACATACTTGCAAAGGCAGTCATCGTGACTGCCACATTATGTATACTCTCTGGAAAGTAAGCCCCATAGAGTGCAGTGGAACTAATTTCCAGGTACACATAAAGACGATTAAGGTTATTTCTAAACCACTGTGCAGCACACTCCAATGAATACAGTCTACTATCTACTCTATGTTTATCCTATCACAACTCCAAGGAACTCAGTATGGCATATATACTTCCTTCCTATTCCATTCTATCCTATCAACAGCTCTGTGAATTAAAATGGTAAATCCACAAGATCAAGAGGTGGTTAAAAATCTGCTGACAATTGCAAGGATGGTGTTAGCTGGTGGATGGTAAACAAAACAAATTCCAAATTAAGATAGAACGGGTTGTTTTAAAAAGCTATGGGATATGGTAAAACTGCAAATATTGACCACATTAAAAAAAAGAAAAGAAATTTGTAACTAAGAGCTATTAGTAGCAGTGAATAAAACTTTGTTGGTCTGAAAGGTGGTACTGGACTCAAACTTTGTTCATGTGACTTTTACGACAATATAGACATTTAAACCTAAGCCTTCCCAGTTCCCTAACCACTACAACAGCATTCTGACTCTTTAAAAGAACGTAATCCTGAGGAAATATGCAGACGATTGTAGATATATGAGTGACATACTTTTGTAACTCTTCCCATTGTGCTCACGTTGCTAAGCACAAACTACTCACCGGTCTCCAGATGCTACATGTGTACAGCGCCTGAAACTTGGTAGAGAAACCTCGCAATTTGGAGCCTCAAAACCCACCTCCCCAAAGACGTGAGAATTGCAGTTTGAGGTGTATTTTCCTCCAGTAACCCCAAAACGAACGCGAATGACCACAAACGACAAAAGAATAAACTATAACTCCCAATCGCACCAGCATTCAAGTATCACGTGCCAAAGATGGTATCGTATAGCCTTATGGGAATTGTAGTCAGTTTCTAGGAAAAACAGACAGGTCAGCGGCCGCATCGAGAGCCACTAGACTCCAAAGACCACAATTCCGCGCGGAAATGTCTTCATGCTACCAGTCAATTCGCGAGGGTCGCCCTTGATAGATAAAAGAGGCGGGGAAGGAGTTGCGCGTGCGCTTTAGTGGGAGAGAAGCTTAAAATGGCGCTGGGCAGGCAAGTGTATAACTTGCTTTTCCGCCGCACTTCCACCTTTGCGCTCACGATCGTAGTGGGCGTTGTGTTCTTCGAGCGGGTTTTCGACCAGGGTGCAGATGCTCTTTATGAACACATGAACAAAGGGGTAAGAAAGACAGACCTAGGGCAGGTCCAAGCCAGGTACTCGCATGGCGTGTTGTCGGGCTCGCTGAAGGTCAAGCGTTTTCCTGAACTTTGTGAGGCCCCGGGTGTTGGTTTTTTATGGGTAGCGGGTTTTTAAAATGCCAGCCTTCAGATGTCGCTGGAGATTCCCAGAGTATCTCCGGAGACTACACGGATCAGTTCCCCTAGAGTAGGTGGCTGCTTGCATCGTACAATATGTACCCCATTGAGGTTCTCCACCATCTAGGCATTACCCAGGGGAAACACACACACACACCGTCTTCAGGAATTTATCAGCCTGGAGTTAAGTAACCTTAGCGGAACTTCTCTTTAGCTCGTGAAGTCTTTCCTTCTCTTTGTGTGCTTCCTCGAAGGAAGGAGAGAGTTCTCTTAAAAGTACAAGTGTACTGCGTTCTAGCGTGGTCAAAAGTAAACCTTTTGATAGGAGGTTAACCAAGTAAATAGGGTTGTAGTAGCCTTGTATTTGTATTTGTGCTTCTCTTTAATTAGTGGGTGAAAAGAGCATACATTTGACAGATGAAAAAGGGACGCGCTTGCAACGGCCTACTTCTCAATAATGACTATTTAATTCCCCCCACCCACTTTATATATTGCTGAGGACCATATTCCACCTGTTGTATTTGTGTGCCTTGTAATAGTCTGCTCTCTGTTGTTTTAAAAAACACAGTGGTGGTTCTTATTTATCTTAAATAAAACATAAATGGTTTCTGGTATATTTTCAGGTCAATATGCCACTGTGGCTGTGTGAAATGGTAGGAAATGTTTGCCCCTGAATGCATTGCGCAAGAAGCATGGAGTTGTAACTTCTAAAGAATTTGAGGCAGCAGCTGAATTCTGAAGCATGACAATTGCAGCAACTTGCACTAAAAACATCCCCCAAAGGCAAAAGTAGTGGCAGATACCTGAAAATGGGGATTATCCCTGGTAAATAGATATAGTTGTAAATATAGGTGTACTTCATATAGATGTTAATCCCAGGTGGTCATTTAATAGCTTTTCATCCTCTGTAGTGGTGATGTGGACTAAGATCTGTTTCATCCCTAGACGTTCCTTAGAGGTATGCTATTTTATAACTACCCCTGAGTGTAAGCATAGCAGGGTAGCTAAAGGTGGTTAAAGTTAGATGGCCTTGATCAAAACATAGTTCTCCTTGCTTCTAGTAGAAAGTAATTTACCTTCTAATAAAACTATATGCCCTGAACCTTCCTGTTTGTATTTATTATGCAGTACTGAAAGTTGATAATAAGAGCCCTGCTGGATCAGACCAGTGGTCCAACTAGCCCAGCATCCTGTTTCACACAGTATCCAACCAGTTGCCCTGAAGGGCAACAAACAACACAGAGGCCTCTTCCCCTGATGTCACTTCCTAGCACTGCCTCTGAATATGCAGATTCCCTTTACTAACTGTGGCTAGTAGCCACTGATGGACCTATCCTCCATGAATCTGTCTAGCCCCCCCCCCCCTTTTAAAGCCATCTTTGTTTGTGGCCAACACTACCTCCCCTGCAATGTTCCCTCTAAGCTGTGGAGTCTTGTGAGCAGAAATTCAACTTTGTGAGCGACTGAGATTAAAAATTGTGAGTGAGCAATTTGGCTGCTGCATAGTTTTCTCTGGAGTCATCCTTCCTGAGCCAAGACAAAAATGTGTGAGCCGGAGGCTAAAAAACTGTGAGTTAGCTCACACTAACTCAGCTTAGAGGGAACACTGCCCCTGGCAGTAAATTCCACAGTAAATTTAACTGCTTGTTTCATTTCATCTGTCATCCTTTCCTGCCCCAACCCCCTCTCCCCAAGACTTACCTCAACCATGTACTTCAATTGGTTTGTTATTCTTGTTTCCTAGAGAACCCGTGATGGTATATCTTTTGTTCTAAGGTACAGTTGTGGCTAGGAACCTCTAACATAATCAACAGTTTTCCTAACTACAACTGCTGGGATTCTTTGGGGGGAAATCATGACCATTATATGACAAGCCAAACTATACGTTCATATATACGTAGGCTGCAGCATAGGACCTAGAACTGTCAGGATCTAAAAGGTTCTTGTGTCTGTCCTCTCTCATACTCAGAACTATCTGTGATCTTCTGCTTCACTGCAGTGCTTGGGGTAGTTTCAGAGAGTAGCTGTGCTAGCCAGCCATTGAACGGCCTCATTTGAGTCCAGTAGCACCTTGAGAGTACAACGTTTTCCAGGTGTAAGCTTTCAAGGGTCTGATGAAGGGAGCTTTGACGTTTGACAGCTTACAAGTGACGTAGTAGCAGTGTACTATCCTGTTCTAGGGTTTTTATTATGTTTTGTAATGTGCTGGTAAACTGTTAGGTCAGCAATGCAGAAAAAGACTTCAGGCATGCTGCTCATGTCATGGTCACTTGGGAGAAAGAGTAGCAAGTGACCTTTACCGATAGTCCATACAATAGTCACTATTAGTAAGACTATTGCCCTCTTTAGGTGCATGTGGTAATCTCTTACCAGAATAATTGGTGGAATTGATATGGCTATACTTATGGCCCATCACCAATACTAGTAATACAATTACAAATATACCAGGAAGCAACATTTGGTTTAAATATATGAGCACTAAAGATCTTGTATACAGGTCTATGAATGTGTGTCTATACTATATTGATAATTGTGACTACTGAGGAAGGCCCTTAGGGGCCGAAACGCGTTTGGTCTTCAGTAGGAAAGTGTTTACCCATCATATGTATTAGTATTTGATAAGTTTTTATAAGTCTGATACTCAGATAACGATTTTTATCAGTATATGTTTTAACATGTGTACACCCTAATATTTGTACTTTTATAATATACATTGCTTAGCCCTTTGGTTCGCAGTCTTATCTTGGGTTGAGTCCCCCCCCCCTTTTTCCAGTTTTTTACAAAACAGGAAACCCTGTTTGTCTTTGCTTGAAATGATCCTTATCGGATTTTTAGCTGTATTACTGTTCCTTGCAAAAAAATATTCCAGCAGTCCCAGGAGCGTTGACTGGTGGTCACTGCCAGGCTGTAATATCCTGTCCTGAAGCAGACTATCCCTGTGGCTCTTTAGAGAATATTGCTGTCTCTTTGCTCTGCAGAAGCTGTGGAAGCACATCAAGCATAAGTATGAGACTGGTGAAGAATAAAGGATGGAGATGCTGGACTCCTGTGGGACCTTCTGTGATCACTTCAGTACAAACCCATCTTCCTGATCGCTGACTGTTTAGAAGGCGCGCGTCCATCCATGTGTGTCTGTCTGAGACAGAGGGCATCTCTCTTGAGTGACAAAACTACCTGGACTTGGGCTTGTTGTGCTGAAATGTAGCCTAATAAAATACATTCTCAGATGTGTACATCTTGTACTTCAGACCTTCCATGACTCTTCTCTGAGTAGTTCCTCTTTTTGGGTGAAGTTAGTGCCAGACTAGGCATGGCAAGGGAATCAGAGTGTATTTGTATACATGTCCCTCTGTCATGTATTAAGGTGGAGTATTATCTAATTCCTAAGAAACTGAGCACATAGGACAGGGGAGCTAAATACTGCCTTTTCATTCAGCATCTTTTCATTCAGCACCACTGGCTGCAGTAGTGAAAGTGAGTTGAAACAGGACTTACCATCCTTTGCCTGCTTTCTTGAACATGGTTTTACAAAATATATTGTCACCTCCTGCTTTAGGTGGGAATGGGTGCATTGATACATTGCTAAGGGGGAAAAGGCTGACTTAAATGGAAGAATAAGAACAAATTCCATGTAGGAATTTATTAGGACCATCCAAATCTATACAGCACACTGCAAGCTTTATTACCTGGGTTTTGTTTTTGGATTTTTGCATGGACCAATATGGCTGTACAACTTTTCTTGACAAATTGTCCATTATTCCTTCCCAAATAACAGTACATTCTAATTTGTTAAAACTATACCTGTAGTATCAAGATAGACTGGAGCTGGGATTCCTAGTGTAAGCCCACTTATTCCAGAGGGCTTTTATTCGAGTAACTCTGCATAGGACTGCAGCCCAAGAGCCTAAGCACACTTCCTATGGAGTAATTCCATTGAACTTGGAGGGATTTAATTTTGAATACACATGCTTAGGACCTTACTGTTAAATATTCAGTATTTACTATTTTGGAAAATGAAGTGCATGGCTTATTTTTAGATAGGGTCCCGTGCAATCTGCAACTAACTTTTTGAGAGGTGCTGGCTGAAACCAACAGCAGAAGGTGATGCTTCTTTTCACAGTCCTTTTCTGTTTTAGTCTGCCCTTTCTTTTGTCAGTCTCTTTACTTGTGGAGTGGGAGGAGGAGGCGTCTCTTGAGAAGTGAGGGCTGGTTCTTGCTGGACAGATCAGAAATAAGTCACTTATTGCTGCATGATACCTGTAGTAACTTGCTAGTCCCAGGCCCTAAGTATATAAACCATTGTGTTGTAGATGGCCGCTGTAGTTCTTCCTTTACAGAAGAGTTAGGTAGCTATGATGAAGTCATGGTAACTGTGTAGAAAGCACTGCCATTCAAACAGTTGATGGCAGTTCATTCTGAAGGGCCAACCATTGCTTGGTTACAATATTCTAAATCTTAAATGGGCTTTATAAGAGATTTTAACATTTGGTTCTAAGAATCTTAATGTGGTTAGAATGAGCTATGGTGGGGAAGAAGTACAGGAGAGAAAAGGTGCTTACAGGAACACTGTTGAAAGTGGGACCCATTTCACACCCGAGGCTTTGCCTGATTTTCCCCGCGGTTTTGTGTTCCTCAAAAAACAGGATCATGAAACTGTGGGGAAAATCAGGCGAAGCCGTGGGGTTAAAATGCGGCCGCGCGGCTTCGAGTGGGAAATTGACCAATGGAAGCGGGGCAAAGGGAGGCACGACCGCAGTGCAGCTCTTGTGTGAAATCTGTCTGAGATTCCTTTCCTGGTCATTGGAGGAACTTCACCAAAACTTTCTTTGGGCCAGCATAGAGATTCCCTGTTTGTCCTACTAACAGTCTTTACAGCATGGGGCAAAGTGTTCAGTTATGCATATTGATTTGCTCTGTATGTCTGGGTTGCTGTTGGCAGGGTCTAAGAACTACAAAGTAGTAGAATTCTGTTACTGTGACCACTGTCGGTCCTGCTGGAGTTCTCCCTTGGGTTCTTAAGACTGTCAAATATTACTGTATTTTTTGTAGCCATAAAGGCTAGACAGTTGCATTGTAATCAAGTGAAACACTGGATATACTAGCAGGATGAAAACTAAACCCTTAATCTGTATTTGACTTGTAATATGTGGATAGCACCGAAATGAAGTAGATAATATGGTAAGAAACACAAGTAATATTCATCCCCAGATACTTTTTTATTTCCTGCCATCTGCTCACTGCAGAAGCACTTGGTTTTAGCACATTTCTGTTTAATGAAAACTGACAACCTAAAGCCATTATGTAGGGGTTTACCTGCTCGGCAAGATTTGCCATGTAGTTTCCCCTTGGCTGAGTTCCATCTTCTTGCTGAGAATGCCATTGAGTCAGTGCTCAAGTGTCAGTTACGTCTCCCTGCGGAGCTGGTATACATCACTGAACTGGCTCAACATCTGACATTATGCTCTACCTTGGAGATTATATTAGATAGGGTTCACTGATGAAGAAATCCAGTCGTCACACTTTTCAAAAATAAGACTCAGTGAAGGACTTGGGTATATAACTAGAGTCTTAATACTTTTACTACACAGACAGTTAACCTGGTGTTTGTGTATGGGTATTCTATCACATGACATCCTGCCCCAGTGGCTGTCATGTACCAGGTTTTTATTTGTATTGGTTATTTTATTGTAGCACCCTACTTGTGTAAGTACACATGAAGCTGCCTTATATTGAATCAGACCATTGGTCCACCAATGGCTCCCATGGTCTTTTACATCACTGACCACCTGGTCCTTTTGATGAGAGATGCTGGGGACTGAACCCTGGGACCTTCTGCATGCAAAACAGAGGGCTCTTCTACTGAGCCAAAGTCATTTAAGAGAAGGAGACTGGTGCCGTAGCCACCAGTGCAGGCAGAGACTTGCTGTAAAAACAGCAAGCAGTAAACAGCTACAGAGCCTCCTATTGTAGAGATTCAATTGCTACTGTTTAAAAACATAACGGTGGCTAAAAAAATGAGATGCAATGCAGGGAGGTCCCTGGTTCAAATCTCCCCTCAGCCACAAGCTCCCATACAGAGGCCGCTTTTAGTCCCCCTACATGCCACAGGGGTAATAATACCTTTCCTTACAGGTCCGAAAGGGTTATGTAAATGCCAGGAATAGTTAAGGCATGTAGCCTATCAACCTGACAATAACAGGGTTACAGTGTCAGTATATAGATGGGGTCTGAAGTGTGCAACTATGTAGAAAGGCAATTTGAGGCTAGGGTACAAAAACTATCAGGGGTCACAGAAAGAAGCAAATTAGCTTATGTAGTGCTGTCAGTGTATAGAACCCCGGAGTGTGTGTGTGTGTGTGTGTGTGTGTGAGACATGAAACAATCTTGTACAGTAGACCAGTATAACTACCCGTTTTGCACATGGAAGAAAAGGGCTGAGAGACTATGGCTTGCCTCCAGTCACCTCATGGGTCAGTGCACATTCTCTTAGCTATGAAACTTTAGTGTAGGGATAGGGACAGGGAAATGTTGGAGTTCCATAAAACTGAGGTGGGGTAACATGTCTTCCAATTTTTCAAACCCCTTCCTAATCCTCCCTCAGGTGTTTAAGTGGTAAAAGGACAGTCCCTCTTTAGGGTAAACACCTCCCCCCCCCTTTTTTTTCAATGGTAGAGGTTTCTGGGAGTACAGACCACTTCTCCATTCTATCTTCACTGACGTTTCTAGAATATTTGCCACTTTTCAACATGAATTTCCAAAGTGACTCATATAAAACCACATACGCTACAACACACGCAGTAAGCCTGCACAGCCAGCCGCGGCTGGTAAAGCCAAGAATAATCTGAATATGACGGCCCAGCACAAGAACCTTCCTCGGTCTCCCTCCACAGACCTGGGGGGGCTTTGGGCTTCAGCACCAGCAGCTCCAATCCAGCCGAAGTCACGCTGAGGCGACCAGTCTGCCTGGGGTAGGTGGCGATGCCCACGGAGCCCAGCCCCAGCCTGCCCTTCAGGAAGGACAGGCCCTTGAGAACGGCCTGGCACTGCTCTTCGACTGAGGTCAGCGGACCCGGAGCCACAGCGAGAGCCATTTCAGGTCCGGCTCTGCCGCCGCCGCCAGGGCCACCATCGACATGAGATTCATCTGGCTGCGGCGTCGGGCACGAGGCGCATCTCTTCCGGCGAAGGAGTCGTCTGGGAAGGTCTCCTTGCTCCCTTGAGCCACGCGGAGCGCTCTCTGCATCGCTCACAAAACTCAGCGGCTCTGGGCTACTTTTTCTGGGCCCCTCCCCTACTCAACACGCCCCCTCTTCTTCTCAGGGACCCCCTCCCCCCAAATTCAGAGCTCCCTCCTTCCTTCGCCTTCTCCCAGGGACAACCCCCACCTTCCTGTCGCCGGCCTCTATTGGCCTCCGCCCACGTCCGTCCCGCCTCCGCCCTCTCAGGCCATTGGCTCTCCCGCCTGTTCCTCTCGCTTCCCGTCCCGCCGTCTTCGGCTCTCCCCGCCTCTCCGGAACGGGACGAACGGGAGGAGAAAGGGACGCTCCGGCCTCGTGGATCGCCCTGATTGGCCGCGCTACCTGTCCATCCGTAAAGCCGGCTTTGGCCAATGGGGTGGCTGGAGAGGCGGTGATGCGGGATTGTAAAAGCCTGGGTTGCCTGGGAGACGGGCAGGGACTTGCCAGCCTCCAGCTAAGGCCAGGAGTTCTCCCGGGTTGACGGCTGATCTCCAGACTGCGGCGTTCCCCTGGAGAAAATGGCTGCTTTGTAGAGTATGGCGTTCACCTGCTGAGATGTCTCGCTTTGCCAGACTCTGGTGACCCTTGAGCCAGCACAACCTCACAGGGTTGTTGTGAGCATAAAATGGAGGAGAGAGGAACTTTATAAAAGCTGCTGTAGATTCCCACTGGGGATAAGTGAAACAAAGAAAGAAACCTGGAGTTGGCAACCCAGGGTGTGTCGGCACCAGATACTGTCTAGGACCCTATGTTTATGGCAGCCGCCGCCGGCGACCGCAGGGGGAGGACGGGCGCGAAAGGTTCCACCGCCTCCCTGAGCCCTGGGGTGGTTGGTGGCTTTGAACCGCTAGGGGCAAATTCCACCTCTGATGTACGCTCGGACATCAGACTCGAGAGGTCATTTGGGCTCCCCCAGCTCTCCTAAGGGGCTCTTTAAGAGTTATGGCGGTGGGCGGCGCCAAAGGTTTCCCGCCTCCCTGACCTCCGGGGTGATGGCCTTGG